GGGGGGGGGATACCTTGCGCAGTCATCGGCGAATCTGTGATGATCGATCTGCTTTGCGTTGTTGTGATTCCCGTGCTCACGCACTTCTTAGCTTGGGGTTGCAAAACATGTCTAGTAATGTAGTATTAGTGGCACATACGGAGTTCGCCCCTCAGCATTATGATGTACTGTATCGTGTGTCGATGCCTGTTCCCTACACCGCATTGAGCCTGATTGTGACGTGCGACTTTCCATATAATCCACGAACGTAGTGCGCAGACGGAATTTGTATTTCCGTATGGCCGTTGTCCGGTCTTAGAGGAGTTACGTGTTGTTTGAGATAATTTAATGAACGCGTTATAGCATACAGTCTTCTGCTTCCTTCTCACTGAGTAGTACTCATGTATATGCTTTAAAGGCGATGAGGTCAGTCACCTGATTAGCGCTCGTACACACGGTATTCCGACTGCGAGTCTGATGCTGCACCGTCTGAGCTACCGTATCCGATACCGTATGCAACAGACTACGAACAACTTTCAGTACTCTTGCACTTTGTTGTTACCATCATTTAAACACAATCATTTTGCCGTCGATGTTGTTCTGTACGGCGTATTATCGCTGACGAAGGAGGATGAACATCAGTCTTCTGTTACTGTGACAGCCATGTAAAGAAAGACGCACTCGCACCTCAACCACATCCTCAAGTGCAGTAGTCATCAGACAGCGAATTGTATTGAAATGTATCGTCGGCGAAAGTCCACATGTCCTGATGGCTTGAGATGGTCATCGCACGCCGATCGTTGTTTAAGTAAATTTTTGCGTGTCTCCAATGCCTTTAGCCGGTTCATCGACCCTGACATGATTCTCATCATCACGTATGCTGGTCCATTGGTCTTCTTCGGTGATCTTAAGGCGGGTTTTCGCATGTCAAAATGAGCGGTCAAAATCGTCAGATTATTACACGTGTAAATTCCAGATCCATAGCGGCCAAGATCTGTCTTAACAGACAGTTTTGATCGCTCGATCTTGAGCAACGAAGAATACAGCTGTGCCAGAAGTTTTTTTGTATGCATATATACGAAAACCGAAAAATACAAACACTCGTGATTTCATTCGTCATTGAAGGACGCTCACACAACTTATGGAAAATCTTCTATGTTAATTTTTCCCCTTCCTCATTTTTGTCCATTTCTTGTTTGTATTTTTTTGTCACTTACAACTGATAGGTGTGGTAAAACTATCGGTCGAATCTCAAGCTAATTAACCTGGCGATGGTAATAAAGCAGGTAGAGCAAAATGCGGCGGACAGAGGTTGTACCTCATTGCACTTAGCATCGATAGACGGCGACTAACTTCGAGTGGTATTCACGTGATTGGAAGAGAGGGAAAACTGTGACAAATGAAGACCTAAACGAGAGAAGAGTTGAGGCACCGTTGTGGCTGACGTAATCTCTGCCATAGACAAATCCCATTGAGTCAAGCAAAGAAGATGATCGAAGGGTGAACAGTCGATCGTTCAGATGTCGTCGAGCCGTGCCTCAAAATCCTTTAAATTGCGATATTTCTTTGTTGTAAAGTATTGATTTAATGTTGTAATATGGCGATTGAAATTTAAGAAAAAAGGCAGTAAAGTAGGGTTCAAAGTGGAACATGAATCTGATGCGGTTTAAGTCTAGACTAAATCGTCTCCGCCTTTTAAACCACGATCGCCTTCCATTTAGTGCGTTTTCGATCGAATGGTTATTTTATCTATTTTTTTCCCTTGTACTTCTTTACTTTGTATTTCTTTCCTTTAGAACCATGCTGGCGATCGTGGAGAATACCAAAAACGAAGTCAAAAATTACATCTACGAGTAAGAATGGTTTGAGCTTCTTGTCCAATCGTATTTTTAATCGTATTTCTTCCAGTGATGGACACCTGGCCAGTCGAGGGGTGGCGAAGATCGCTTCGTACACTCGAACTTCCAGAGAAAATATCGCTTACGCTGCAATGGGCATTTTCGCGGTCTACCTGATTTTCGGCTACTTCGCAGAGCTTGTTTGCAATTTCGTTGGATTTGCATATCCGGCTGTTTTTTCAAGTAAGGCACAATTAATACCATAATGCATAATTTATGTGATGCGCATATTTTCAGTACAAGCCATTGAATCAATGGACAAGAAGGACGATGCGAAATGGCTTACCTATTGGGTGGTGTTTTCCGTATGCTCGTTGGTAGATTTTGGATCACGAGTGATCATGCGATGGTTTCCGGTGTATTGGTTATGTAAATGCGCGTTCTTTTTGTGGCTCTTCTTGCCGTGGATGAATGGCGTTCAAGTCTGCTACAGTCGGATCATCAGACCGTTCAGCAAGAAGTACTCGAAGCTGTTCGAGACCATGGAAGGAACGGTAGCACAGTAAACATTAACACTGTCAGGGGTATTAAGACGTTGTGTTTAAGACAGGCAAGGTCCATTGACTCTTCGACAACGACCTGAACCAGAAAAGGAACATGGCGATCTACTAGAAACTTTTATGCACACTCAGCATCGCCATTATTAAAGTGCAAAATTGTAATACTATTTTTAGTTTTGGAATAAAGCGTGAACATAATTGTAATTTCTTTTTCATAAAAAAAATTGTGAATACACACAGACTGCGAATGACGCAAATTATCCTCAAAGCGCTATGGAAATAGTTTCTACTCAAAACGTTTACTTATCGAGCTACACTCCACCGTTGCCGGACCCAAGCCCGGATGAGAAAGAACGCTAGGGATCGCTGTGATGTCTCCTGTAAAACTCTATTACCTGCCGTTCATAGCATTGCCATTTTTGAACGTCATACTGTTTCTGCCGTGTCACTGATTACCACGGGTCACGCATACTGTTGGGGAACTGAGGCAGAATGCGAAAAGCCTGTAATCGGAACTTGCTTTATGCCTCTGGCAACTGAGGGTGTGGCAGCACGGTGATAACTGCCGGTGAGCCACAGAAAAAAGGCGAAGACTCTTTACAACTTATAGCACTACTATAAGGTCAGATAAGGTTTTGCGGGTACGATACTCACTGTGAGAGCTCACAGCGATGAGTACCTCAACGTAAGAGAGGCAGAGACGAGAAGGTTTCTGACCTTGTTTTATTGGCATCTTCTGAAACTGATCTCCAGTGCTCCCTGGAAAGGTTCGCAGCCGAGTGCCACGTCACTGGCATCCGTGTTAACGTGTCTAAAGCGAAAAGTCAAGTGCTTTCTCGCTCTCCTTCCAGTTGAGCTCTTCAGACAGCGATGGAGAAAATCGAGGAGCGGTGAAGCAGGTAGAGAAGTTCACGTACCTCAGAGTCATGTGCACTGGTGGTAAAAATGATAGGAAAATTGACGGGCGAATTGGAATGGCCAGCGGTGTTTTCCACAATTAGCCCAAACCGTTGAGGCTAAAGCAGAGTTCAGTCTGACGCCTAAGCTGTCTGCGTTCAACTTGGTCTTCATACCCGTGTTCACCTACGGGCACGAGTCGTCGGCCATTGATCGCGTATTGGAGTGGCTGAAATGGGCCTTGTGAGATAAAATAAATCCCTAATCCAGAGTACAGGTATCCGAGAGAACATCGTGATATAGCCACAGTATTTCTAGACTCAGAAGTCACAACCTCAACGATTTTGTCACGTCTTGCAGAATAGAACTCGAATCAGTTGCTATTTTCCCAACAGACCGGTCAGAGAACCCCAGGACGACCAAAAATGACCTGAAACAAGTGTTCAGACGTGCTTTGATCCAGGCTTGGAACACCTTCTACTGAAACTCAGATTGTGGCACAGGATCGAAAATGTTATAGATACAGTCTGACACATCTGCCTCCGCCATCTGAAAGGATTTGTGGTCATTGAAATTGACTGGTTGGCTGACTTAGCGCACTAACGTTGCTCGAACGCCTTCCAACAACGGTATTTTCGAAAGGGTATGGGCAGAGATCCTGACTTATAAGTCTGAGATATTTGCAAATATGGAAGAAATACATGTTTAATACTTTTACCTCAATGTTTGGTGTCTGTTTTTTTATGTTATTATTAACATGAGGAAGTGAACGATTGTCGATGGCATAAATCGTTACGCGAGAGCAGCTACCCTTGATTGCCTTCTATTTTGAAAACGGGAATTACAGGAAATGGTACTTTTTCTCCCCATGGTTCGTCTGAAGAACGACCGAACGCGGAGGTAATGATGATTGATGAGAACGTAGAGCCCTGGTGAAGTAAACAACGTTTGTTCAATGGAAAAGACACTCGCTGATGATCAGCCATGAACGCGGTCAACAGAGTTGTTAGCGATGAAGAATCGAGTACAATGAATAGTATGCTTTGCTGGAAAGCTTTCATAAACACGTCGTCTGTCTCAACCCTTGAGGTAAACGAGGTCGTGGCTTCAATTCCCTCGCTTCGAACGTGAACATGGCTAGCGATCCCGGACGATCCGTAAGTCAAAATGTCATGTCCTTCGGCCTAATTTTCTTAAGGAGTCATGAAGAATTAGACCTGACGGTTCTGGAAACTACCTCCATAACCTCGCTAGCTTAAAACTTTCTTGGCACCTCGCAAGTTTTTACGGTTATCGCAATGTCAGACAAACCAATGCTGTGTCTGCAACGCTTATTTTGGCTCGGAATCTCAAACAGTGACCCGTTATGAATCTCGATTCATGCGTCGGTTTCTAGTTCCTGCCTACGTTTCGGTTCTAAGTGCATAAAAATATTCATAAAGGTTAACTACCTTACCGTGGTCTCTAAATGTTTTATGTCCACCCAAGGCTCGCCCAGTCATATGGCATCTACATTCCCTAAATCGATTCTGTGTTATTCCCTGGTCGTGCGAATCACCTACTTTTGAAAGATGTACTTGAAGATAAATCCCTTTACATAATCTTAGCTTTTCCTACAGTAACTGGATATCCGTAGGAAATTATAACATTTTTTCAAGACTGATTCACCTATCTCTCTCCACATCATGCAGATATCAAGAGCCACTGATCAGTGCAATTTCGATACAACCGAGATTTTTCAACAAATATTTTGTACTTATTCAATGAACCCTGCGCATGTTTTGTTGGCTTTCCAAAATTCGAGAATAAATTTTTCAGTTGGCCGTTCCAGCCTTTCAATCCAGTTCTACGCTTTGCGATTGAATTATGGTAACTCGAATTTCGAGCCTCGTTTCGTCGTCCACCATCGAGGCTTCTTTGTGTCAGTAGGTGGAATTGAAATGCAGGACAAAGGCCATGTAGAAGTATCCAGTCTGCTGGATTATGCCTTCGATGTCCAGCAAGTTGTGTGTTCTAAAAGTAGCGTAAAACATCAGGAGTATAATGCATTTTTGCTGATGTCGTGGCACATTTCGTGGACTGCCTAG